CTCTCCAGCCCCTGAATATAGTTCTGTTTTTTTGTCTTTTTTTGTTTGTTATTTTTTTTTTTTCCAATTTTTTTTTTTTTTTTTGGTCTATGAAGCTTTGGTTAGTGTCATTTGTGTCTTCTGTGTTAGTCCTCATTTTCTTCTATATTTCATCTTGCAAAAAAGTTGAGGATTGTGTTATCTTCTAGACGTTTTTATCTTTGCATTTAGGTCTTTAATCCACATGGAGTTTTTGTTATTGTTATTTTGGTTTTTGTTTTTGAAACAGGCTCTATGCCCAGACTAGCCTCAAATTTGAGATTCTTCTGGCTCAGTGCCCCCAAGTACTGGGGCTCTTCAGGCATTATCACCTATTGTGCATGGCTTGTTCTTGGTTTTTAAGTCAGAGACCCAATTCTTTCCTCCAGCTTCTGTTAGGTACTAGTCTATCTACCCCCACCGACTGTGGTATCACTGCAGTTATACATTGTTGGACATAGGGATCTGTTACTGTTTCTCAGGTCTCTCATGGATCTCTGTGTTGGTGCCACAGTGCCTTTAAATAAGCCTTGATGGGCACATGGGTTAATTCTTCCTTTTTTTTTTTTTGTTGAGTTGTTCTAAATCACTTTAATTTTTCTTAATCCTTACTTTTCTGCATTGCTTCCTCATACCATCAGGTTCCAGGAAAAAGTCTTTATTTTTATTGGCATTACATTCAATTTATGGATTTATTTAGGAAGTACAGATAGTTTTATGATAACAATTTCCTGTCCATAAAATGGTATGTTTCTGCTTACATCTTTAAATGTATTTCAGTAAACGTATATAATCATTGCATATTGATCTCATCTTTCACTAGATTTATTCTTTATCACTTTGTTTCTGCTGCTATTGTAAAGTGTTTTAAAATTATATATATATACATATATGCTTATCTATTATTGACATAAAGGAGTATGTATTATACATTGATCTAATATTAAGCAGCCATGCTGAATTGTTATATACGACTATAGATTGTATTGGGTTTCTGTGCTTCCCGGGACCTCCACTGAAATAGTGAAAGAAGTGACATCAGTGACTCTGGCTCTGCTGTCACACTACAAATGTGTCACACCCCAAATGTGCCTGCTTGGGTTTTTTGGTATGTTTTTGTTGTTTGGGGGTTTTGTTTGTTTGTTTGTTTGGGTTTTTTGTTTTGATTTGTTTTCTGAGACAGGGTCTCACTATGTATCCCTGGCTGGCCTGGAACTAACTATGTAGATCAGGCTAGCCTTGAACTCACAGAAATCACCTGGCCTCTGCTTCTTGAGTCCTGAGATTAAAGACATGTTCCACTATACCCTGCCTTTAAATTTTTTAAAGATATATTTTATTTTTAATTGTTTGTGTGTGTGTGTGTGTATCTATGCAGATATGTGCACATGAGTGGGGTTAGCCCTCAGAGGTGTTGGATTCCCTAGAGCTGGAGTTACAAGTGGTTGTGAACTGCTCTACATGGGTGCTAGGAATCAAACTTGAGTCCTCTGCAAAAGTAGTACACTCTGTTAACTGCTGAACCATCTCTCCAGCCCTAGATTTATTTTTGTTTATGTGTATGTGTGTTTGTGCCACACATGCCATGTGAGTGTGAGGGACCTCAAAGACCAGAGGAGGACATAGAATCCCTGGATTTGGAGTTCCAGGCCACCCAATGTGGGTGCTGGCTGGGAACCAAACTCAGGTCTTTTGGAAGATCAGTATACATGCTCATTTTTATTTTCATTTTATTTTTTGGTTTTTTTGAGACAAGGTCTCCTTGTAACCCCAACTAGCCTGGAACTCACTATGTAGACCAAGCTGGCTGTGACCCCTGATCTCAGAGATCTATCTGCCTCTGCCTCCCGAGTGCTGGGATTAAAGGCATGTGCCACCACACCTGGCAGTAATACATGCTCTTAACCACCAAGCCTTCTCTCCAGTCTGCCCCCGGTTTTTTGTTGTTGTTTTGTTTTTAGTGTCTCAGGTAGTTCAGGTTGTCCTTGAACTTGTTACATAGTTTAGGATGACCTTGAACTCCTGATCCTCCTACCTTCAAAATGCTTGGATTATAGGCATATGCCACTAGGCACAGCTTGGCACAATTTTAACAGATTAGAAGTTTTCTGCTGTTTCTAGTTGGCTAACACTTTACTTATCTTTTTTATTCAGTCTGAATTTTCCTTATCTACTGAGATGATGTATTTCTTTTCCTTTAAAAAGGAATTCAGCTAATGCAGTGAATTGATTTTCTGTTGTGTAGCTGGGTATGGTGGCACATGCCTCTAATCCCAGCTACATGAGACCCTGTCTCAAAGTAACAACAAAATGATTTTCAGTTGTTAAGTCAGTTTAATACTGATTTTCAACTTAACAGAATAGAAAACTTAGGGCATGTCTGTGAGGAAGCTTCTAGATTAGGTTAACTGAAGTGGGAAAACCCTCAATGTGGGTGGCACCATTCCTCAGGCTTGGGTTGGAGCCTAAAAAGGAGAAAGCAAGAGGACCAGCATCTCTCTCTTTCTGCTTCCTGGCTACAAATGCGATGTGGACAGCTGCCTCACACTCCTGTAACTTCCCCACAGTGATGAGCTGCAGCCTCAAACTTTGAACCAAAGTAAGCCTTTCCCCAAGTTGCTTTCATCAGGTATTTTGTCACAGTGATGAAGACAGTAACTAATACAGATAGCTTTCCATTCTTTGTTGAAATTCACCTTCATCATAATGCATATTTACTTACGATTTATTAATTTTTTTGAGACTTTTTCTCACTATAGAGCCCTGGCTGGCCTAGAACTCACTATGTAGACCAGGCTGGCTTCAATTCATAGAGATCCATCTGCCTCTGCCTCCCAAGTGCTGGAATTAAAGGTGTGTACTACAATGCTGGGCAAACATTATATTTGTCTTTATTTTATGTGTATGAGTGTTTGGCCTGCATGTATGTAAACGCAGTGGAGAAGGCCAGAAGAGTGTTGGAACTGGAACTGGAGTCCAGTGAGTGCTAGGAACCAAACCCAGGTCCTCTGCAAGAGCAGCCAGGGCTCTTAACCACTGAGGCCATCTCTCTAGCCCATGTATTTTTTCAATAAGTCACATTGATTAATGTTTTCCTTAGGATTTTTACACCTGAGTTCATAGGAGATTAGCTCTTAATTGTCCTTTCTTAAAAAATTTTAATTAGTGGGGCTGGAGAGATGGCTCAATGGTACTGTTATAACTTATAGAAATGGCAAGTTGGTAGAAAGGAAGCCGAGATAAAATTACCCCTCAGAGGATGTAGTACCCACATGGTGGCTTAACAACTGTCCATAGCTCCAGTTTCAGTGGATCCAGCACCCTCTTCTGACCTCTGTGGGCACTGCACAACACAGGTGCACTTACATGCATGCAGGCAATATGCTCATACACATAAAATTAAATAAAATTAGGGGCTGGAGAGATGGTTCAGCGGTTAAGAACACTGACTGTTCTTGCAGAAGACCCAGGTTTGAATCCCAGCACCCACATGGCAGCTAACAACTGTCTGTAACTCCATTTCCAGAGGATCCGACAACCTCTTCTGTCCTCCACGGGCATTGCACGGCACAGGTGCACTTACCAACATGCAGGCATAACACTCATACACATAAAAAAAATAATAAATAGGGGCTGGAGAGATGGCTTAGAGATTAAGAGCACCGACTCTTCTTGCAGAAGACCTGGGTTCGATTCCCAGCACCCACATGGCAGCTACGAACCGTCCTTAACTCCAGTTCCAGGGGAATCTGAAGCCCTCTTCTGACCTCTGTAGCATTGCATGACACGGGTGCACTCACATACATGCAGGCAATACAGTCATACACATAAAATAGAAATAATAAAATATTTAAAAATAAAATTGTGTGTGTGTATGTGTGTGTGTGTGTGTGGTGTTTGCATATGTACCACACCACACAAGTGGTGGATCAGAGGACAACATTTGGGAGTCAATTCTCTCTTCCACTGTGGGATCCAAGAATGTAACTCAGGCCTTCAGATCTGAAGTGCCTTTACCCTCTGGGTCATCTCATCAGTCCT